AACCCATGGTGCTCAGGTGGAGTCAAGCAAACGCCGAGATGATGGTTCGTCCCATCTACATCAAGCGACCGTGGAGGACAGATCTTCCAGGGAGGTTATTAATACTAGCTCTCCTAGATTTGGCTCTTACGACCAAGTGAAAGCATTATCAGCTAGAGAAGACACGAGAGATGTTAGGAAAGATGAGACTGCAAAGAGTGTTGAAAACCACCAGAAGAAAAGATTAGCCAGTAAGATCATGTCCCCAACAATGCAAGATAATGTTACCCTACGCGTGAGCAGTGTGGCGCGTTCTTTGACGTATCCCACAAGTAGCCCAGCGATGGAGGAAGAGGATGCACATATCATTGAGACTTTGACAGATATGGGTCTTCCTGCATCTAATGAAGAAGAAATGAGAGATGAGGAGGATGATCTTTTTGACGAGGAGCTTCTGGAATTGGAGGAACATGCATCATCGGCTGTGTCATCTACTTCACGACAGAATGCGATACCGAAGTTAAAGGGGTCAAGGGGTACTGTTAGGCGAACGCCCAAGAAAAAGGAATATCTGCGTAGGGGATCTCCTAGATTAAGATCCTTCACTTCAGCATCTCAGAGGCAGCCTAGTGAGAAAGGTAGATTGAGACACTCTAGCCATAATGCTAGAGAGGAACGAGCTAAGCCACGCAAACAAGATGGTTCGATGGGGTCCAAAAACCCATCCCACGTTTATCCATGAGGACAATCAGTTGGAACTGTCGAGGGATTGGAAGCGACCTCACAGTTCGACGCCTTACGGAGATGTGTCAGAAGCATCGCCCAGGACTTGTGTTTCTATCTGAGACGAAGAATAGTAGGCTGCTGTTGCAAGACATTCAGGCCGACTTAGTATTTGATCGTTTATTTACCGTTGAGCCACTTGGTCTCAGCGGAGGTTTAACTTTATTTTTTATGGATGAATTTTAAGTTAATGTAATTTTTTCAAATAATCGAATGATTGACATTGAGGCAGTCATTGATGGAATAAAAGTCTACATGACATTTGTTTATGGGGACCCTGTACTTGAGAGACGAGATTTAGTATGGGAGCGTCTTACGCGCTTCTCAACAACAAGAAATAAACCTTGGTTCATGATAGGAGATTTTAATGAGATTACATGTCATGCAGAGAAGGAAGGAGGCAGGCAACGACCTGATAGTTCATTCCTGCCCTTTAGACAAATGTTAAGTGATTGTGGCATGCTCGAATTTCCCTATACAGGGAACATGTTGTCTTGGGTTGGAAATAGAGCAAGGAGGACGACAGTTAGATGCCGACTTGATAGGGCTGTTGGGAATGAAAACTGGCATGAAAAATTCCCTCATTCAAAAGTGAAGTATATGAGACTCTGGGGATCGGATCATCGTCCGATTTTAGCTGACATTCTGAGAAAGAAACCTAGGAGATCAAGAAACTTCAAATTTGATAAGAGATGGTTAGACAATGAAGAGCTCAGGCAAATTATACTTGAGGGATGGAAGTCACCGGATCTCCCACCAGGCGCAAGTATAATGGAGCACATTGCAAGCTGTAGGCGAGCACTAAGTGAGTGGAAAAGGGAACATAATCTGAACTCAGAAAAAACAGTGGAGGAGCTAAAGGAGAAGGTCGACCGCTTATCCTCAAATGATGATGCCACTACTGAGAAGATTGCGGCAGCTATTAAGGAACTATCTGACGCTCTTAAGGCGGAGGAGATGTTCTGGAAACAGAAGTGTCGGGTCTTCTGGTTGAGAGAGGGGGATAGGAATACTAAATTTTTTCATGCCCTTACGAAACAAAGGAGAGCAAGGAATAGGATTACCCAACTACTGGATGCTGATGGAAATGTTGTGGAGGATGAGGAAGGGTTAGTAGCCATTGCTACTAATTATTTTAGACACATCTTTCAATCCTCAAACCCTGAAGCAATAGAGGAGGCACTCTCGGAAGTATCTACAACAATTACCTCAACAGATAATGCAACTTTAACAGCCCCGGTCACTGAGTGGGAAGTTAAATTAGCGCTTTTTGCAATGCACCCATAGAAATCTCCAGGACCGGATGGAATGACAGCGTTGTTCTATCAGAAATTATGGGATATTGTTAAGGATGATTTAACTCTTATGGTTAATCAATTCCTTTTCGAGGGTACGGTGCCATCTGGCCTAAATGACACCAATATTTGCCTCATTCCTAAAGTGGAGAAGCCAAATCAGATGAGTCAATTACGTCCTATTAGCTTATGTAATGTTAGCTACAAGATTATCTCTAAGGTCTTATGCCAGAGATTAAAGAAGTTTCTACCAGATAGGATCTCAGAGACCCAGTCAGCCTTTGTTGCTGGGAGAAAGATATCTGATAATATTATGATAGCTCAGGAGTAGTTCCATGCTCTACGAACGAAACCGAGTGGCCGAAACAAGAGGATGGCTATCAAAACAGATATGAGCAAGGCTTATGATCGAATGGAATGGTCCTTCATCGAGGCAACCATGAGGAAGATGGGCTTTTCTGAAGTTTGGATAACTATGATAATGAGATGTGTAACTTCAGTTAAATACAAGGTCCTTATGAATGGACAGCCAAGAGGGAATATTGTCCCGGAGAGAGGTTTACGACAAGGAGATCCTCTGTCCCCTTTCATTTTTATTCTGTGCACGGAAGCGCTCGTTAGCCTTCTAAATCACGCAGAGAATCAAGGGAAGATAACGGGATGCGCATTACGCGTGCGTGTCCCTCGGTATCTCACCTTCTCTTTGCTGATGATAGTCTGTTTTTCTGTAAGGCGGAGCCCTGTGAATGTGAAGAAGTAATGAAAGTGGTCAAGACTTATGGACAAGCTTCAGGACAATGCATTAATTTTGAGAAGTCTTCTTTACTCTTTGGTAAAAGAATCGGACAGGATGTGAGACAAGAGATCAAAGACACACTTGGGATCCAAAGTGAAGGCGGAATGGGCACATATCTGGGTATACCAGAGGATATCAGTGGGTCCAAATGTAAGCTCTTTGCTTTCCTTAAGGACAAGCTGAGATGTCGAGTAAATGGATGGACTGGAAGATGGCTCTCTAAAGGCGGGAAAAAATTTATGATCAAATCAATCTTGCTTGCGCTTCCGACGTATGTAATGTCTTGTTTCCTTCTCCCTTTGGAGATTTATGAGAATCTAGCTAGTGCCATTGCACAGTTCTGGTGGAGCTCAAATCTGCCAAAAGGGGGCATTCATTGGGCAACTTGGGACAAATTATGCTTACCCAGGGAGGAAGGCAGTATTGGATTTAGGATGATTCATGAGTTTAACCTGGCGTTACTAGCAAAACAATTATGGCGACTGGTACAAAACCCGGATTCTCTGGTTGCTCGCGTCTGAAGAGGTCGATATTACAGATTGAGTACGCCTTTGCGTCAGATCAATACTAGCAGTCCCTCATATGTATGGACAAGCATATCGGCTGGAAGAGAATTGCTACTGTTAGGAATCAGACAAAAAATTCATTCGGGGTATGAGGTTAAAGCTTGGGAAGATCCTTGGATTCCTACTGTACCTGCGAGACCGGAATTCCCTTTGGCACCGGT